ATGCAGCGAGTCGCATCACGCTGCTGGACAAATCCAGTAGCAAAAAGGTCTACGGCTACGACCTTTGCAGGTCGGCCCTCCGAGTCAAGACGTCCGAAGCCATGAGCGTAATTTAAGTGAAGACGTCCGGCCAGGAGACATCAGAACCTGCAAGCCGTGGCGATGCCCTGGGCCGAGGAGGAAGAAGAAGAAGAATCGCTGTCCCGGGCCAAGCTTTCATGCATCTTTCTGACTTGTGCCCGCTCTCATGCTAACCAGGTCCTCCGGCTTCTACACCAGCTGCGAGGAGGACGAGTGAGGGGCACAAAACCCGCAGCAGCGCGTGTGCGGGAGCAAAACACCTAAAGAGCCCAGGGTTCCAAGGAAAACTTAAGAGCCCGTAACGTACATAGGGAGGTAGACCATCCTCTAGAGTTCTGTAAAGTCTTCGCGATAGGCCACGTACCACACAAAAGTTTTACAGGTCATTGCATCCGCACATGTCTGAGCTGGTGGCGCTTGTACCCTACTCCCAGCTACCAACGTCGCGGCGTTTTGCTTCAGGAGGCGGCAGTACTTTTGGGGGGATGGAGGGATCGTTGCATTGGGATGTTTACTTGGAGTTTTGACTTTTAAGCAAGGCAGGGCAAGTTGACGCTTCGTCAAAGCCCGGATATACTCATGCGGGATCCGTTGCAGTGTATAGAGATTGACAGGTACCGTCCCAGACACCAACAACTTCGAGGTTTGCCAGTAGTGGTCTTATTTGCATGGGTGTAGTTGGGATTTGGAGGATGCTGGGGTATGCGGCTATACTGTCGGTTGAATTGAGCGTATGTTCGGTGGTGTATGTGGTTGGGGATGGTGGGGTTTAGAGGATACCCTTTTGTTTTTGACTGCTGGCTTTGAGTGTTTGGGGGGTGCGGCTCCCTGTTTTCGTCGTGTGCTATGAGTGTGTCTTCGGTGTTCCGTGCAGTTGGGGTTTGGGCGATGGGTCTACCGTTTCTTGACGCCTGGTTTGAACGCATGTTCGGTGGTTCGTGCTGTCGGGGTTTGGAGGAGTGGCTGCTGTTCATGTCGCCGGTTTTGAGCGAACGTTAGGTGGTGCTTGTAGTTGTCGCGGGCTTTGAGCGTATGCTCGGTGTGGCGTATAACTCGGGTTTGGGCGATGCGGGCTGGTGTTTTTGTGGCTGGCTTGGAGCATGTGTTTGGCGGTGCGTAGTTGGGGTTTAGCGAATGCGGTGCTGTTTTTTGTCGCTTGCTTTGAGGGTATGTTCGGTGGCGTGTGCAGGTAGGATGCGGCGACTGTGATTCGCTTGCTTCGTGCATACGTTCGTGCATGTAGTTGAGGCTTGGTTGCGCGTTCAGAGGGGTTTCATCAATCCCCCACGCGACTGGTCTTGGCTTCAGCGCTTGGCAGTAGGGTCGCCAGAACAGCTGTAGCAGCTACTTCGTGCCGTGCAGGAGACCTTCGGCCCTCTTCTACGAGCAGCAGAGCTACTAATCCGTGGTGATCGATTGGACATTCTGCTTCCGACCTAGTCAGTGGTGCTGATTCTGTATTGGAAAGATGTCGTAGCGACGTGAGACATGAGCAGCTCATTTCCGGATGACGGAAGACACTTTGGTGCAACCTTTCTGCTCCAATTGCTTTCTGTTTGCTCAGGCAGTGCGAGCACTTAGGGGCAACCTGCTGGTTTGGCATATGCTGTCCATTGTAACATGTCTCATTTTTTACCAGCGGACAACCCACTGAGCGAGTCGAGCTGAGCAGGGTGAAGTTGAGAACTTACACAACGAACATGTGCGCAATGCCCGAGCCGAAAGGCTTGTCCGGCAGCCTTCACCCGAAAGGTCAAGACCAAGACCCTCAGGGCCCTCAGAGCCATCAGGGCCATCAGAATCAGGGCCGTGGCGGAGAGGTAGCGACTGGCCGTTGTGAGCGCAGACCCGGCCCAGACCTTCAGCGGATCGCAGAAGCTCGCACTCCTGGATGCCGCTTTTCAGTGCCTGCCTTGTGGGAGAGGCGGAGATGTATCCTCACGATCGGATCGGAGGATCTTCGTGTCTACGTTGCTTATCACAAGCCACCAACAGTGTTTCCGCTGAGCAGCCTTCGGCTTCGCTCGGGCTCTTCGCACCTCGAGCTCAGCCGCACTAATTGGACCACAAAGCTGCTCCGGCGCATGTGCTGCTGTGAACCCTTGACCATGGTACTCAAGCTAAAGCGAAGTCAGGCGGGGAGCACAGATGGGCTCGGCAGTTTGATCAGAGCTTATGCAGTTTCCCCCCCACCTTGGCTTTGCATTGTTTGCATGTGTTACAGCCCATCTGCTTGCCCAGCATCACTCCACCCTTCCAGACGCCCGGCCGTGCCCAGCAGCCAGGCAGGTGACAGCTTAGAAAATCAGAAAATCATGACTCCGTGCAATGTCACAGCATGCGCGGTGTGACGAAAAAGTGTTCCGGATGTTTCTCAAAAAACGGAGCAGGACATCCACCCACCCAGCGTCAGCTTGTGTTCTCACCTGTGCATCCCCTGATGCAGATAGAATGACTCTGTCTCTAGGTGTCTGCTAAAGTGATTAGTCAATTGCCCTGCAAGGTGGAAGATGTTCGCAACGTTCTGTTCCCACAGCAAGATGATGCACCGACGTCTCTCGGCGTGCCCCTTGCAGATTTTCCAGCGGAAGTACTTCATGTTCTCTCTGAGTTTCTGAGTCTTCCGACCATTCATGACATCATGCGAAGCTGCAAACAACTGCGGGTAACACTCCGAGCCGACAGCTTCTGGCAGCACTTCTATGTCAAGCTCTTCCCGTTGGTCGTACGGGACAAGGTTGAGGAGTTTACGGACTTGGGCGGCTGCACCGTTCTGGACAAAGTAGCTGTGGCAACCCTCCGTTTCTGCAACGTCTGCCATGCACGGAGACTTGTTCCCGGCTTCTGCAGTTGCGGCGCCAGACATCAGGCCGATTCCGGCATGCTTGTTCACCTGCCAAGCTGACCTAACCTGACCTAACTCATTGATGCTCGACGTAGCGTAACTGAACCTAACCGACCTAACCTAAGTACTACACCTAAGCACCTCCAGCTAAAGCTAAACCTAGCCTCATAAGCCAACCTACAACACGAACCTACAAGTAGCCACCTAACTAGTTTACTTGCAAACTTGCCTGACTGCTTGCTGATTACATACCTCATTGTCCAGCAAGTAGTTTGTTCCAACCCTAGTGAGCCAAGTGCATCCCTGGCAGTTCAACAAGTTCGTCCACTTCGACATGCGGGCTGCTGAGAAGCTTCGTCTTGGCCTCCACAGTCTGAGCATGCACTTGCACATCAAAGGATTCAATTTGCAAAGTGCATGTCTCTCCTTCTCGTCACGTTACCATGGGAATTCCTTAGCGAGCCTGCTACGCCAAACTGCAGCATTAGGGAGGATGCAACTGTTGGCGTGTGAAAGTCTCTCTGGCGAAGTCTTCGGTGCCTTCTTCGGCTTCCCGCTGAAGCGCCGCTCCTCGCGCGCTTATGGTGCTCGTGACAAACTCATGCTCTTCAACATCCGCATCGATGGCACCCTGCGCATCTTCGACGGCGACTGTGGCGACCGCGAGACAGTGCAATCACTTCCAGATGCCTTGATAATTGGCACGTCTTCAGAAGCGGCCTTAGCTTTGAACTGGGACCTGAGCATAGCAAGCTGTGCGTCCACAAACCTCTGCTACGGTGCATGTCTGTGTGCCTCAAGGGTCCCTCTGAGATCTGTGGCGACTTTTTCAGACAAGAGGACCGACAAGATCCTGGATCGTCGAATTTCTCACCTAACAGCTGCCGACTTGGGGAGCGATGCGGAAGTGCAGCGTAACATGACGAGGCAGCTGCTCCAGTTGTCTGGACACCAAGACATGCGGCATTACTTCGGATAGAGGTCATCACGGAGACCCCTTGCCTCTTGGCAAATGCAGTACATTTCAGGTTATTCTGAGAGTGCAGGAATGGCCAACCCTGTACATATCATAAAGCATGAATTCGGGCCATTGCCGTTGTAGGCTGAGAGATCATCTGACGTGATCTACCTGCTGTGAAGCCTTTCAGATCCAGTAGCGCCCTGTGAAAATTGCGCCCGGATGTATCTCATCCTCTCATGTCCTCTCGTACTCGAAGCGGTGAGAGCTGTCTATTATTCCCGTGGCCAAACACATATCAGATGTCCATGCATGTCCATGCCAAGGCCGAGTAGATGGCAAGGTGCTCGAAGAAGGCCGAACAGCCAGCGGCTCGGACTCTAGCTTGGCAGTGCTCCTGCAAAAGTGCCAACAGAGTCCGAAGCAGGCCGATCTCCAGTGCTTTGCTTCGACCAATGGGTCCACTGGAGGCAAGGATGTCGTGCTCCTTGGAAGCAAGCTTCTCGGGCCTGCAGTCCCAGGACCTAGTCCAACAGATCGCAGTTTCCAGGCTGGAAGAGGGCCTGGTGAGCATGAAAATGCTGCCTTCTCAGCGCCATGCATTGCAGTGCAAGCGGAGTAGAACTCCGTGAACTTCCGAACAACACGTTTGTTTCGGGCGTAGTTAAGTGGTTCATGTCGCAATCCGCAGAGATAAGAATCAAGATCGTGTGCCGTGAATGCCATGCCTTGCGTGCGCTGAGGCAGAAGGGCCTCCCCGAGGTGGAGGCTAAAAGGTTCCCTGGTGGCACAAGAGAGAAAGTGCTTGGCCTGGAGAGACACACACAAAAGGGGCCAAAGCTCAGTGAAGGCTCCAGGCATTGATTCAAAAGCACATCGAGCGCTACAAGTGAAGCATGCCTTGCTCGATAGAGATCTTTTGATTAACGGCAGCTTCAGTCAAAGCTGGGAAGATCTCAGCTAGACGGCTTTCAAAGGCAAGGCCTTCGGCCGCAGGCAACGTTCTTGCATCTGCAAGGAAACAGAACCTTCCGCTCATATTTCGAAGCTTTACACAGGCAGCCAACATGTTCAATCGTGGGTTGAGTAAGCAACGGATGAACCGTCGGCGGTTTCTCCAGGTGCTGGATCGATGGACAGGTCACTGGCGATGCAGCCGTTTGTAGCTGATGATGCAGCAGAGGCAGAAACAACAGCCGAAACGCTCGACTGGTGAGTTTCCCGAACCTCCTCGATATGGGAAGCCTGCAGCAAGTCACAGGCGCATTGCAGGACACTGCGTGCACTTAATTTATATCGACGACAGTGCAGAAACTAACATCCGCTTGCAGCTTCCAAACAAAACTCACTGCGGGCGTAGCTCTGCTCCGCTGCTTTGTGATGGCTGGGAAACCATCCCCGCTGCTTTCGCTTTCTCCGATTTCTGCAGCGCACGGAGGCCGCAGCTGTGGGCAGGGTGGGGCACAAAGCTGGGCTGAAGGCTATAGATGGCTACGGTCTTTTTTCAAACGAAGTCCTGGTGCAAACCAATGCGGAACGCCTTGAGCAGATGACTTCCGGACAATCCGGTGTTCTTTGCGGGAGATGGCAAAGCGGTGCGGGGCCCAACCAAATATCCTTGCATGGCCGGTCTTTGCACGTGGACGGTGTGCCGCTTATGTGCAGTTGCTGCACTGAGGGGGGAAAAGCCTCGGCATCTCCCTACAAGGACAGGCATATACGGAGTCAGCTTGACAGCGTAGTTGAGGATCAGCCATATGTATCACACCTCGTACTTGTAGAGCACAACTCGGCATAAGAAGACATTCGACTTGACATGACGATTTTTATTCAGAGTTTGAGCCTGGTGACGCCAACCCGACTGGCGTGGCTAGCGTCTCCGAACCCTGTTCCAGCAATAGAGCAACCCTCTCAGTTTCCAGCAACTATTTAAGGAAATTACCCCTGGGTCTGTGAAGGAAAGCCCTTGTCCCTTGATTGGTCATGGAGATACCTCCGCATCGCATTCGGGCACTGATCAGAATTTTTTGCAAGTTCTGCACTCTTGCTGGCACAACACATGATCAGGAGGTGAGCTGTCTCTAAAGTTTGGTGCGGAGACTTCCTCTTGGCAGGTGGGCGACGCCGGGTGCACAGTTCAGTGAGATGTTTTACCCTCGGGTGGTGTTACAGGTAACGGCTGAGGTGAACACCGAGAAGGCTGGAGCTCCAACAGCATGATTTTGGATGAGTCAGTACTCTGCGCGCATTCAGGAGTGGCCCAAGACATGGATTGCATCACTGGCGGGCTCGCAGGCACCGTATTCATCAAGAACAGCTCGTATCTCCAAGGGTTGTGTTTTGCACAGGACATGCAATGCCGCCTGGAGATGGAGTCGTCGAATTCACAGCTGGTCGTGAGGCGCCGGTTGTGCGGCCATGTTTGCCTATAGTGGCTGGAAGAATTTTCCCGCTGACCGCCAGGACCGGAGACAGCAGTGAGCTGTTCAGCCGAGTCTCCGCACCAGCGATTCCCGGGCATGTTGGCGATCCAACATCTTTTTCAGGGTCGTCGCAGTGTGCTAACACCTGCAGTTCTTGTCAGTCGGTTCAACAGTGTGTAGTTCATCTTACTGGCGACTCAGCCAGTATTGCGTGCTCCTGATTCACAGCATGCGATGATATTCTGCAGATCCCGTCCAGGATGCCATCAAGGCAGCACACTTTTAGAGCCACTGCTGCACACCCACCACAACAGCATCTCTGGCACACTCATTTCTACAATCACGATCTTCCACCCAGATTATCCCAGATTGAACGTTCATACCTTACGACCCCGAAGCACGGCTGTCGAAAGGCCCCTGCCTATACTTGGGTTGTATTGGGGCTGGTCTGACGGGTTTGCAAGCCATCTTAACGAATTATGATTACTGCTCAGGTAAGGGGCTGTTCATATGCTTCGGAGGTCAGAGTACAAAAAGCAACCCACGATTTCGACGGATTGATGCCAACATGCCAAACGTGTCTTGCAAGACTTGCTCTTGAAGAATGCTTGCAGCCATCACAGATACCAGCCATGCCTTTGCTTTCAAGTCCATGGGGTGCCCGTGGTCGTGAGATGCAATGTAGTTTTATCGCAGACGACAGCCCCAGTCACAGCAGCTGCAGCTCTTTCTGTAGACGAGCCAGCCAGGAATGGAGCCGTGAAGGCGCAGGAGCCGCTGGAGATCGAGGTTCAGATACTCGTAGCAGCCAGGCAAATGCAGGGTAGCTGACTCGCAAGTCAAGCACAGGCTTCTCCATCCAGATCACGTTCGAACTCATGCTCGGGTTCGAGATCTCGTTCCTCCTCATCTACGAAGCAAGGCCAGTCAACTCAAGAAACATATTTGGGACATGTTGCTTTGCGATAGTGTTGGTCAGCCAAGGCAAGAAGAGTCAGGATGACAGGCCTGTGCAACCACTCGGTGAAGCTTGTACATGTTGAATTGTCAGCCTCCAGCAGCTCTGGTTGAATTTTGTGCTCAGTGTTTCTCTTCGCCCTGAAAGCACGTTCCGGCCTGTCTGCGCCCCGCTGCCATTTCTGCATTCTCATCGTAGATCTTGAGCCTTCTTCCACTGCGAGGGCCCCAATGCTGTCGAGACCAGCAAGCCTGACAGAGCTTCCTACAGCGCTGTGCTTGCAAGTAAGCCATCTGGAGGCAGGAGGAATTCCGGGCAAAATGTCACTCCATTTTCACTGCACGGATTCTGACGATGGTTGGTTACAGTGGCCGTTCCTTTGTCTCACAACGGCTAAGGCTTCGGGTCGCACTGCAGAAGGTGAAGCGCATGGCCTGTGGATGAGCCTTTTCCAGGCACGCTTGCTGCCTCGTGTTGCCAGGCTGGTTCAAGGAGCAGCTTTATGTCCCAGACGGGACAACTCTGCTAGCTGATAGCTAGACTTCGACATGCGCAAGGCTTTGACAGAGAATAGCATTATCATGTGTTGTTCGATGTAAATTTGTTTGCCCGTCCTCGATTCTCTGAGCACCAAGTTTCCTTGTTGCTTTTTACTTGCAAGCCCAGTCAGACTACGGCGGAACTGCAGATGCTTGCAACGAGCTCCTACATCGATAAATGCTCCATGCACATGGTGCCATCTCAAATCGGACATTTGGGGGGCCGCAAGCATCTGTCCAAACGAAATCGAAATCTGCTTTCCTGGTTCCATGCCAGCACAGCAAGATCATTCGCAGCAACAGCATCGTGATGTTGTTTCAAGTCGACCAGGATCATGAAGTTCAAGGTTTCTTGGTCGGTTCGCAGTGACTTTAGCTAGTGTCATGGATCTTCCGTTCCATCCGGAGTTGACACGTTATACAGTATTTCATCGCGACATTGGACCTGGTGAGAGGCTCCCTCGCATGTGAGCTCGGCATGTTCCTGATCGAGCTGCTAGACCCGTGAGCTGTTCCATGCCCGTGAAAAGACAGCTGCCATGGCAGCTTTGACGACGGACCGAACCCTCCTGACTTGGCCAACAGGATGATCTGCCTTGCAAGTCTCGGCAGCCTACGAACACCCCTGGGCAGAGGGGTTCGGCAGGGTGTGGACGTCACCAGGCACCCCACACCGAACGACGGTAGCTTAGCGCTGAGGCAAATGCAGAATATCATAAGCAAACAGGAGCACCTTGATATTTTCCCGTAAAACTTGGGTGCTCCAGACACAATGGTCCCCTCTCCCTCCCCTGAAAGCTGCCGGACATATGTGGACATTTATATGCATATACATCTATATATTCGTATATGCACGTGTAATATACAACACAATAAAGTATTGCATGAGATAGAACAAAGCAACATGGTAAAGTATAGTAGAGTATAGTATTGTATAGCATGATGTTGTAGTACAGTGTAGTATAGTACAGCACAGTATAAAGATATTGTAGTGTAGCACACGTGTGTGCGCAGTAACAATCGGCAACGGCGAACGCCGACAGCATCTGGCCCGAATCGCCGTTAAAGCTTTTCTGCTAGCTCCTTCTGACGCCGTTGCCA